GATGGAGGGTGATACCAAATGAAGCATGGTGTAAAGAAAGAGGAGCAGGTGACACTTTTCCTCCTTTCTCACCATATGAGAATCCAAAGGAAAGCTGATTGCTGGGAGATTCAGGACAGATACAAGCCACTATTTCTTCACACAACACAACACTATTTATGGAATTGACTTCCACAAGATGCAGCAGTGGCCCCCAATTTGGAGGGCTTTGAAAGTGGACTGGACAAATTCAAGTAGCAGAAGGCTATCAATGGTTACCGGTCCTCATGGCTGTCTGTGTACACCAACTGCTGAGGAACAAAAGTAGAAATGAACTATCACGTGCTGTTCTTATAGGTCTTCTGGGGCAGCTGGTTGGTCCCTGTGTGAAGAGACGGCTGAATTGGATGGCCCACTGGTCTGGCCCAGCAGGGCTTTTTTATGTCCTTAAATTAATATTTTTATTTCCAGGGATTTTGAGTTGAAGAAGAAGGTACACAAGCAAAACAGATGTACACGTTTCGTATATAAGGACGATTTTGCATAGTTACTTAGGGTTGCTCTACACAAGGCATTTGCTGTGACAGAGTCTGTGGGACCTTTGCATGACCTTGTTCCTTCCCAGGGACTCTCCCAAGTTTTCCAGCCTTTTTCCAGCTTTTCTTAGAACAAGGAAAGTCTGGTATTTCCCAAGAAGGCAGCAGCATTTGCTTACAGAGATATTACATATTTTAGCAATTCTACTCTATATCGCAGCACCACCTTGTGTTGCGGAAGGGAACTTATAGGAACATTTATACAGGTGAAGGGACTCTAGTCCTACCACAAGAAAAATGGAAGAAGAAACCTCAGTAAAGCATCAGTCTCCGTGCTTAGTGTAGAGAAGCCCTAAGATGGGCTGAACGCAGGTCAGCTTCAGCTAATCTCCATGGATGTGGGTACCTGCTGAAGGATGGGTGCTCATAAAACATGGCAGGTGTATTATATAGAAGTAGGCAGCTATAAAGTTGCCCTGGACCAAACCCTTATGGGGCTTTATTTATTAATTATAGGGCACTTTCATTTTTTTCACCCTGAAATGCATAGAGAACAGTTTGGCTTTTTTACAGCTGAAGAAATGTGTTCCATCTATAGCCCATGTCTGTATTTGAATCAGCTGAAATTTCTGAAAGGTGTTGAAAAGCAGCTACATGTACAACCTAGAACAAGAGATGGTTCTGCAAACATCGTCTCGCCACTGGCCTTGTGTGATGCCCATTTGTGTTTGCAACTGCTAATTCTCAGCAAGAATTTGCTCAGTTATGCAAATCAAGCATCAATTGAATGGGAGGTTTGTGTAAATGTTTCCAAATTTGTATAGATCTCCCCCATAGTCTAAAATGAGAATGAGGAAATGTCAAATCAAACTGCAAACTGGAAATGAGACAGACAGAAGTTTGGTAGACATGTGCTCATGTTTAAGTTCAAAGGTTCAAACAAGATGTGCTAACATATTTTGCAAAGGAAAATAAATTCCTCATATGTCCCTTACACAACCCATCACACTAGTCCAGAGCACTAGTCCAAGCACTCTTGGATGAATGGATTATCTGGACCCATTTCAGTCCGGCTTCAGACCCGGGTATGGTACTGAATCTGCCTTGGTCGCCCTGTACCTGTCCAGGGGGAAGGACAGGGGGAGTGCGTCCCTGTTGGTTCTTCTGGACCTGTCAGCGGCTTTCGATACCATCGACCATGGTATCCTTCTGGATAGGCTAGTGGGATCGGGGGTCAGAGGCACTGCTTTGCAGTGGTTCCGCTCCTATCTCAATGGCTGATTCCAGAAGGTGATGCTGGGGGACTATGGCTCTGCACCATAGCAGCTATGCCATGGAGTACCACAGGGATCCATTTTGTCCCCTTTGCTGTTTAACGTCTACATGAAACAGCTGGGAGAAGTCATCAGGAGATGTGGGCTGCGGAATCACCAGTACGCTGATGATACCCAGCTCTACCTCTTGTTTTCCACCAATCCAGGTGAGGCAGTGGCTGTACTGAACTGGTGCCTGGCCGAGGTAATGGGCTGGATGATGGCCAATAAACTGAAGCTCAATCCAGACAAGACGGAGGTCCTGTTGGTTGGGGGATCGGGCTTCGGGGAGGGTGAATTGAACCTAGTCCTGAATGGGGTTGCACTCCCTATTGGGGACAAGGTTCGCAGCTTGGGAGTGCTCCTCGACCCAGAGCTTTCACTGGAAGCTCAGGTGACAGCGGTGGCAAGGAGCGCTTTCTTTCAGCTTCGGGTGATCCATCAGCTGCGCCCCTACCTGGAATACAACTGCCTGGTGACAGTGACACAGGCGTTGGTGACTTCCCGACTTGACTTCTGTGACGCGCTCTACATGGGGCTACCCTTGAAGACGGTCCGGATACTTCAATTGGTTCAAAATAGAGCTGCCAGGCTGCTGACGGGGACTGGGCATTATGTTCACATGACTCCAGTCCTCCGTCAGCTTCACTGGCTTCCCATTGAAGTCCGGGCCCAATTCAAGGTGTTGGTTATGACCTATAAAGCCCTAAACGGCTTGGGTCCTGGTTACCTGAAGGAGCGCTTATGTCCATATATGCCCGCCTGCCCCTTGAGATCTGCGGGAGAGGCCCTTCTCCGGGAACCCTCCGTGAAGGAAATTAGGAGGGTGAGTACTCGGAGGAGGGCTTTCTCTGCGGTGGCGCCCAATCTATGGAATGCGCTTCCCAGAGACGTCCGCCTGGCGCCGTCATTATTTGTTTTTTGGTGCCAAGTGAAGACTTTTTTATTCAAATGTTATTTTAATTGTTAATATTATTTATTCATTTTATTCTTTGGCCAGGGCGACTTAATTTATATTGTTAATTTATATTATTCTATTTTGAAGTTTATTTATGGTTGTGAGCCGCCCCAAGGCTTCGGCGAATGGGGCGGCATAGAAGTCTCCTAAATGAATAAATAAATAAATACGTACAATAAATGGCACTGGCGTTACATCAGTGGGATGCTTCTTACAACTAGGGATGGGCCAACCTATTAAGTGTCCAACTTGTAAATTTGTCCGAAGTGTAAATTTGTTCTAGTCATTAGCTTACAGTTTTTCCCAAATTTGACACCTTTTGCAATGCAATATTCTTCCCAGTACTCTTTCTCCTCATAGACATACATACATGCATGCGCACATTTATTGTATCACCTATTGCATGTATGTTTTTTTTCCTCTTCTTTGAAAATCACATGAGAAAAAATGGGAATGTGTGAATGTTGCAGCATAGCTGCATTCTGGCTCATATGCAAATTTGGGAAGTGTGAATTTGGTGTGCTCACTTTAAGACACACCAAATGGATCCAGTGAGCATTCTTATACATATAGGCTTGACTTCTATGAAAGAGGAGAAAGAGAGTGAAAAGACAGAGGGACTTCATGATTTAATGGATGGGTAGCACAATCCTCCAACCTTCCAGACTTGGAGGATTATGGACATTTAATACCAAGAGGAAGAAACAAGAGGGAGGAGGCTATTGGTAGCTACTAGGCTTGCTGGCTATGTGCTACCTTCTTTATCAGAGGTGGCATGCTTACATACACCAGTTGCTGAAGAGCCTGGACAAGAGAAGGTCTTGGACTCATCCTGCTTGAGGAACCCTGTGGACAGCTGGTCTACCACCATGTGTCCAGAGAGGTGAACCAGTTGGATCACTGGGCTGATCCAGCATGGGCTTTCTTATGTTTTCATGTTGTTATTTCTCTGTGTTCCTATGTTCTTATGTTCTCATTTATTGAATTTATATGCTGTGCCCTTAGCCAAAAAGGCTCCCTGGGCAGCTTACAATTAAAGGCACAACAATAAAATCCATTAAAATACAATTCAAGTTAAGACAATAAAACCATAGGCTGAAATCAGACAACAAATATTAGAAGCAAAATATCATAAAATGATATTCCTATGCTCCTATACTCATGTTCTTCTGAATGAGGTGGCTGTCTCCAAGCTTCTTTTCCTTTGCAAAATGCTTGGCCATTGAAGTCTTCTGCCCTGGGGTCTGAGGAATGGAGGTGCCACCAAGTTACTCTATATCTTCTCCTCTTTCTAGCCTCCAAAGCCCGTCTCTCTGATCTCAGAGCTGTAGCTAGTGGACCGCCATCTGCTCCAGTGGCCCAGGTGGACGTAGGGCACTCTGAGATTAGAGTCCCTGTGCGTTTTCAAGACTGAAGATGGGACTCCAAAACCTCCTACATGCTGTACAGTGGCCATAGAAGTCCACACATTTCAAGCTCCAGCCTCAGAAAATGAGTTTGCTCCCCCCCGCCCGCTCCCACAGGGAAAATGTGGAGATGACTTTTGCCTCTGCATGTCTCCCACTCTCCATAGGATACCTGTAGTTGTCCAAATGTGCAGCATCACAGGGATCCTCATTTGACTGTGCTGTTGATTTTTGAATTTTTAGACACCAATTTTAACTGGTAAGGCCAAATATTGACCAATAAAGCTATAAGTTACTTAAAAATATTTTCATTCTGAGAACCAAAAAAAAAAAAAATTCATGCTAGCATTTCCTTCTAACATTGACTGGTAGATTCTGCTTATTACATAGGAACCCAGCAATACCTCTGGCTAATATGCAATTTTCTGTTTAAAATAATCCATTAATGAGTGAAAAGCAGAACATTAATCAAGTGCAATTCTTAAGTCCGTTCTCATGGCAACTCTAATAGAGTTAGTAATGATAAAGTAAAGGTTAAAATACACGTAAGTGAGAGCACTATGAGCGATTTTATATTTAGTCTGGGATTAAATGTGGGTAGTGAATGCATTCAAGTGGAAGGGTGCTGTTTAAAACGAAATGTCTGCTTTATCCAGTGATTCCTCTAAGGGTGAAAGCTCCGCTATGATATGGACATTTGTTTTGATGAAGGAGATAGTATTTGGTCACACTATGCTGTTCCTTCCCTTGAAATAAAGGCAAATGTGTTAAAATTCATTTGATCACTTTTGCTTTCTTTTTGTTCCAGCTAACAGGAGAAGTTATTCTGCAAATTGCCAACAACCCTGTTCTGCCCTTTAATGCCCTGGATATTGCATTAGAAGTTCAAAAGAGCCTTCAAGGTAATGTACACCATGGCCCAAATGTTATTCATATTTGTGTTCTTGTATATCTGTGTGTGTTTGGTAAATTAAGCATATTTTTCACTTAGTTAATAGAAGCATAACCAGCTTAAACATCTGAGTCTCACAGTTAAGCAATAAGAAATGTAGCCTTTTCAATTAATGATAAAGACCGTATGAAGGCCAGGCAGTGTGATTTTATTCTTCCACAGAGTACAGCCTCAAATGAGGAGTGGAAAATGAGGGATTGGACCCCTCAGCTCTTGTAGGCCGCGTAAGTTTCCCCGTTCGAAAACTGGCCATCTTGCTTGTTTATTGTCCTAGTTCACTGACTCACCTCTCTACTTGCAGCCACTAAGAAGCTGGAAAATTTAATGCTGCATAATTTGCTTGAGTTGATTTATCAGTCGGTTCTGCAAGGCTGAATATTAGAAATGTATGGCCTTAATCTGTCTGTTTCATTGAGGTGGGGGAAGAAAGTCCAACCCTCTTCAGCAATGGCAAATATAGGTGCTCTGGACCTGGGAAATAATACAGCTGCCTGAGTGGTCACTGTTGTGATCAGAGCCCTGGAACTCTTTGAAATTGGACTCAGGCTAAGCTTAATAGATGTAGAGTTGAATTCTGTAGTTTCATGCTTACATACAGCCAGCCGCATCATTCCAGAATCCCCTTTGCCTTTCCAGTCTAGTGAAAGTCCTGGGGTGGACTAGACTGTGATTGAATTCTGGTTTCAATCAATGATTAGATCTGCCAGAGACATTTCAGGCACCATCAGCAATATGGACCGGCATTGCTTAATGAAATATTCAGGACAGCCAGCCCTGCCCTGTGGCATCCAGTTTGGAAGCTGACCATTTACTGAGTGTCTGCTGTATCACTATGTGGTTCCATCAGTCTTGGAGGACACCAAAATATGTGAATGTTAAGAAACTGCTTAGAGCATTTGGTTGATTTATATCCAGCACTGTCCATACTGACCGGCAGTTGTTCTCCAGGGTATATAGCCATGGTCTTTCTAACCCAAAATCTTTTAACCATGAAATGAGAAAGACAGAATGTGAGACTGTTCATATTGAAGTTATTCTTTAACGGTAACAGTGCCCCTTTTCCTGGCTGTGTTTCCAGTATAATCATAGATATCTAATTTTCATTTTGTGTGCTATTTCTATGATCCTGCTTCTGTAAAGTAACTTGACCTTATTGGGCTATGTGTTTTTGCCTCTTTATCGAAAGCCAAGCAAGAGCTGTTTATACAGTAGACAAAAATATTGGTGAGTTGAAATGATATGGATCAGCTATGGTAATTATTTAAGATCATACCTGTAAATTTATTTCAATGGAAAAATGCAAAATGGACATTTGTAGACCAGCTCGCAAAATTTAGAGTTGGTATCTGATTATCAGGAAAATGAACCTACTTTTGTGTTTACTGATAAAGTCCTCAAATTCCTACTTTTGTGTGTGTTTATTGATTCACCACTGCTAATTCATTGTTCTGAATATTATGTCTTCTGCTTTAACACTGCTTCTGATTGGCTACATCGGATATCCTAAGTTCTGGATAATATGTGCATGGATACAAGGAAACAACTGTTAATGTCTGTCCTTAAATAGCCATTATTTTTTCTTTCTTCGGCTGGGTGTCCCTCCTGGTATATTTTACCTACCCATGTCTGGCCCGTTATTGTACATTTCAATACATAAAAATACATGGCCAAGTTCTTGTGGCATTTTTTCAAACCTTAGCTATATGAGATCAGACCAAATATGTGGAGTGGAGGGCAGCAGACCACACAGAGAAACAGATCTTGGGGACATGGCAAACACAGGGCCAGTAGGAGAGTTCATTAAACAAAATTGCAGACCTGAGAAAGCTTAACTTGCCAGCATTGGTGTCATGAAGTAATTCCCTTTTCTTTGAAATGAAGTGACTGAAACTAATTAATTAGCCAAAGCTACAGAAAATGCCAGATAATTAAAAAAACCCACTGTTATATGCTCAAAAATAAAGGCTAGTGGAGATATTCTGGGGTTTGTGCAAGGAAAAGCAAAGAGATCCATTTTTCTAGTAGCAACCATTTCCTGCATGAAATGTTGTGTTTATATCCTATATCAAAATGAGATCCTATATGTGCATACATCCTGTGGAATCTATAATTTAAACCCTGATTCCACACAGTAAGTGGCCTCTTCCTGGATCAAACCATTGGTCCATCTAGCTCAGTTCTGCCTACACTGATAACCAGACCATTTTTAGGGATCTGATCCCATAGACACAAAAATCCCCATACTCTGCCATTCAACCCATCCTCCCCATCACACTTTTTCTCATGGCTGCCCTTTATTAAGGGTGTGATCCTATGGTTTTGATCCTGTGTGAATGGATGGTACAATGTTCACCACGAGAGGAGAGATTACAGAAAGTCAACCTCCCCAAACCAGACGCCCATATCCATTAAATAATAATGTAAATCTACTCATGTTTACATCTATTCTCATTCATGGAGAGCCAGAGTGGTATAGTAGTTAAGACCATGGGATTGGGACCAGGTGATCTGAGTTCTAGTCCCCATGGAGCTAAGTAAGTGACTTTGGGCCAGTGACAGACTGTCAGCCCAACCTATATCACATGGTTATGGTAGTGGGGATAAGATGGAGAGCAGGAGGTAGAGACTGATGGAAGCTGCTTTGAGTTCATTAGGAAAAAAGTAGACTATAAATCAAACCAAATAAAAGAATAAATTCCCCTTAAGGTTTGGATCCCAGAATGTCAATGGAATAATTTAGCACTCTGGATATATGCATTGTTAGTGTCTTTAAAAAGAAGTCTACCCCTGTGGCTACATTTCCCTCTGGAAAGGAATAGCGTTGATGTAAAAGCTGAAGGAGTCCTACTATCATAGCACGCTGGATTGGCTGACATGAAGTGATAGGAAGCAGTGTGATTTATCCCTTGAATAAATGCAGTGACTGAAGCTGGCAAGGCCTATCATTTGGTAGCACTTGCTAGCATCAGCCTTGATATCGTTCCGCACCACTCCTACGGAAGAAAATAAGGGGAAATTACAATGTTATTTTACTCAAGGGGAAACAGTAACACTTTTATTTGCCATCCTTTTTGCAATCGTCTCCAATCTGAATCAGGATGAATAATCTCATCTGCTTGTTTTACGTTGTTAAATAAATACAATTGGTGATACCAGAAAAGTGATCTCGAAAGATGTACACTGCTGATTGCTGAATGATATGGCAGATCTTTTATTGTGCATGAGGCATATAACCAAATTTTATTCAAACTCATGTTATGCCAGATGGATATTTATTCTGCAAACTTGGGCTGAATGCAATAACATTTCTGTGCGTAACCAATTGCTCTTAGAATGGGCCCAGTGGATTTTTAACACTTGTAAATTATGCTTCTCCCCTCAAGCATGCATGTGCTCAACCTGGCTTGTTTGTTAGAGTGTAACCAGGGTAGCCATAACATGCGTAAAATGTGTCACAGCTCATTTAGCTAAAGGAAAGGATGGGGTATCTATCCTGTGTTAGCAGGTGTCCTTTTTCTCATGGATGTACGCCTCCAGACATACTACTTTCACACTTGAAGGAATCAGTCAGCATTGAACTATAAGAATCCAAAAGTTTTGTACCTTAAGGGTTGAGGGAATCCGAAGAACCAAGTCACATCTGCTTAACACAGGAATAATCTCTTGAAAAAAATAAAAAACATATACTCCAAGCTTCAGACTCAGACAACAAACATTCTCTAGGGCTAAGTTTCATTCAATAAAACTGCTGCTGCTGCTCTTCTTATTGATGATGATGATGGCAATGACAAATACATTCTAATTATTCAGATAGACAAATTAAAAACTATAGTTTGATATAATTGACTACCAAGTTGTGGTAGGGAGAAAAAAGTCCTAGAAGCTGAGATTAGGAGCAGAAAAATGGGCATGAGAAATGGGCAGGCAGGGAAAACTGGGGAAATGAAAAAAGGAGATCTGGAAAGCTAACAGGGAAGAGGCTATTAAAGGAGACACATTACCAATCCATGTGCTACCAATCTGTATCTGCACAGTTTTAGATTTAGTGAATCTGGGAATGGTGAATTTCTCTTCATGAATAAAACAAAAGAAAGAAGGAGAGTGATCTCCAGATTTCTCTTGTGAGAAAGAGTGAGGTTTCTGCAGGTCATAAGTATTGGTCTGATAAAGTGCAAAATGGGACAGCAACATTTGAGAAGATGGGTTTCTGCTTTGCTTCACTTGCAGCCTTATTTACCTCTGAATGGACTCCATTTTAGCCTCCCTTTTATAATATGGTTCCTGAGAAATGAATACAAAACCCTAAACAAGAAGAAACAAGGAGTTTAGGAACCGTAATATAGTATATTATGAAGAGTGAAAACAAGTTATCCTTAGTAGAAACTCATCAAATTGATAATCTCCAAAGAGCACAATCTTTTTCTTGGGAAATGATTTGTGCATGAAAAGTTGTGTTTCCCTGGCCTATTCAGTGCCAGTCCCTTGCTGGGCAGTTGCTGCTTTAGTGTCATTTTCTCTCTTGCTGCCACAGCAGCTTATCCCCGGATGAATGACAGGGCTGTTTCCACCAGAAGAAGCGTCATACAGCAAATGAGATGACATCACAACTGTATGCAGCAGACTGAAAGTGGTGATGTGGTGACATTGCAGAGAGCAAATGAAAATGATGTCAGGGGAAGAAGAAATATTTTCAGGAGAGATCCCAAGAAGTCACTGGGGGAAAATCATTGGAAGTCTGGGACTAGTTTTAACTCAGTTGCGATCTGGAAATAGCAGTGTTTGGGATTTCTGTTCCATTTTTGGTGCTTTGGCAGAATTAATTTAGGTGTTCTTGCAAAAAGCATGCTAGATAGAAAAGGAGAAGGAGTCTTCTTTCTTCTTCCAATTAGCATTCTTTTCTTGTTTTCCTTTATCCAAAGCAAACAAATAACACCTTCCAGGAATTATGCAGTGTGAAACTGATTCAGGAATACACCAATACTACTAAAAACTGTTGGCATAAAACTCTTACGATATATTCTTTATTCAGAACAGCAGGAGGTAGTGTTGTGTATATTTAGGTCAAAGTATATATTTCCTTCCAGTCTCGTTATCACACCAATATGTTCTCCTTGGATGGTGATGCTTATTAATGCAAGGCGAAGACGGAAGAGATTATTAAAGAAAATGGTAGTATAAAGAAAGGACTTTTACTGGCACTGTTTTTAGAGAGTAGTGTTTTTTGATAATCAGCCCCAGTGCCTCTGGAAGAATCACACTGGAATTTAATTTTCTTTAAAGTGCATGTCTGCTCAAAAGCACGTATCATCAATTGAAATAGACTTACTGCCCAGTACTCGTGAATACTTGCAGCCTAATTCATTTGAACATGAATACATGCTATACATGGTTAGTAGGTATTTGGGATGCTGACATGAATCGTGGAATTAAAGAACAGTAGAGTTGGAAAGGGCCAGAAGGCCATTGGGTCCAACCTGCCACTCATTGCAGGACACCAGGTTAAACCATCCCTCTCCGATGGCTGTCCAGCTACATCTTGAATGTCTCTAGTTTGGGAGAGCCCACAGCCTCCCTGGGTCATTAGTTCCATTGCCATACTGCTCTAACAGGATTTTTTTTACTGATATCTAGCTAGAATCTGGCTTCCGGTAAATAAATGAATTATTTATTCATTATTTGCATTTATATACCACCCTAGTAGCCCAGAGGAATTGGGCTTGACCCTGTTATTCCAAGTCCTGCACTCAGATGTTAGAGATCCTGCCTTTCATCTTTGTGATAGCCTTTCTAATACTTGTAGACTGCTGTCATATGTGCCCTCAGTCTTCTCCTCGAGCCTAAACATGCCTAGTTTTCTCCTCATAGGGCTTTGTTTCCAGTCCCCAGATCATCCCTGCTGCCTTCCTCTGAACACTTTCCTGCTTGTCTGCATCTTTCTTCAATGGTGGTGCCCAGAACTTGATACATTCCAGATGAGGCCTAACCAGGACCTAGTAAAGGGGAACTGCTTCTTCACATTATCTAGAAGTGATACTTCTTTTTAATGCAACCAAAAATAGCATTTGCCCTTTTTGCAGCCACATCATATTGTTGACTCAGATTCAGCTTGTGATCTGCAACAATTTCAAGTTCCTTCCACTTTTAGTATTGTTGAGCCATGGATTTCCTAATTTATAATGATGCATTTAGTTTCTTTTTCCTAGGAGAACTTGGCATTTGTCCCTACTGAATTTCATTCTGTTGTTCTCAGCCCAGAGCTCCAATCTGTCAAGATCATTCTCTCCATTCCTTCCTCTCTCTGTCACTGCCCCTGTCACTCCCCTCTGTCAAATATAAAAGAGTTTTCTGGCAAATAAATTCTTTAGGGCATAATGTTTTGCAGTCTACAGGCAGCTTCATCAAGTGGATAGCTAGCTAGCCTTGAACTTACAGGTAGGGTTTAGTAGAGTTCCAGGTAGACTCTTCTGGAAGCCATCCCTCTAGCATCTGTGGTTTTCCTTTCATGCTTGGTCCAGTCCTGGAAAGCAAACTCAGCCAAGAGGAAGCCTGTAGGTGCTTGTGGATCCTTGATTGCCTAACCAGCAATCTTCCCCATCAGGAGCAGCTGCAGGATGTTACAAAAGGGTGGTGTGTGCAGGTACACGGCTGCCCTTCCCAGCAACCAACTTTCTTCCCTACTTGTAGCTGCCAGTGGCAGCTGCAGCACATGGGACTCAGTCCAGGTGAGCACCCTTGAAACGGTGGTCATATTTGCCAGGAGTTGGAAGAGGATGCAAGTCTGGGATGCTGAGCTCAGGGAGTCCAATGGGTTCTCTCCCCTAAACAGATTCCTTACACTTCCATACTTATAGGTATATATTCTCATAGTCCAGAGAACCTACACGAAGAATTCGGCCTCTAGAAGTCCTCAGTTTGGCTTCAAACCTAAGGTTTCTCATGCTTCAGTTAAATATGATATACATTCTTAATATGGGTCAGAATACTGTTGCTGATGCAGAGAAAATCTATGGGCTGTTGTAATACATGCTGAGTTGTAATAATATATTGAGGACACCCATGCATCATCTATCATCAAATCATTTCCATTTCCATTCATCAGTGAGTTTTGATCTGTATTCTGGGGAACATGACCATTCTTGGAAGTTTATCAAGGCTCTCTCATTAAGCAGATGACTAATGGTGAAGGAATTTCCCCAAAAAGATATTTTGCCAGTGTGATTTTTCTTCCCAAGTAAGACAGCCATATCTTCTCAGAAGTAGAAATGGGACAGAAATTCATTTGGTTCATGTTTGAACTGGGACACAACCATGCTTGAGTTTCCATACTTCTCTACATGTGAAAAGACAGTTCTTCAGGCAAAAATGCATGCAAACGTCTTTGCATAAAAGACATTGGCATACAAAATACCTATATTGGAGCAAATGACTTACACAAATATGTGCACATTTTAGTATATTTTTAAAAGTATCATTTTTTAGATTTTGACCTCGGAGGTCAAAAAGGGACCTTCCTCTGAGAGGTCAGAGAGGTCAAAAGGGGGAATTCTGATGGGTAAGGCAGGGGATCTGCTGCCTCCATGGCCTCTCCAGCCCAACCTGCATCTGGCAGCATGATTCCTCTAGACACTTTCACAAGCCCATCTGGCAGGAAGAGGTACAGAGGAGGATGGCAAGGAGAAACCCGCTTCCACCACTCCTGCATTGGCACAGGATACTGGGAAGCCTCTAAGAACAGAACCTTCCTTCTAATGTGCTTCTTCTAATATCTCGTAGGACTGAGCCCAGTAAATGTTATCATATACAAAAGATGAGATGGGCAATCTATCGGTAAGATGAGCCATATTTTTCTATACTGCTTTCTCTTTACTCTTTCAGGGGAACACCATAACGTTGACCATTTGCTAACAATGACCTATGCTCTGAGGGAGAGTGCGCAGTTGTTCCAGTCGGATGAAATGCGCCCAGCCAATGACCCAAAGGAGAGAGTGCCCACCCGCGTAAGGATGCTGAACGATGTCTTACAAAGCCTCGAGAAAAACTTCTTGGTTCCACAAGCACCTCCAGGATTTTACAGGTAGCAAATGTTCTCTATTCATTTTCTGCAGCCTTGCTTTGGCTTTCATAGCTGCCTTTCTGTGCTTATGGATCTCAGCAAGTGTGTGAAACAAATATTATATATACTTTTTATATACTTTTAAAAATAGAAAATAGCAAAATTAAATAGAGTGAAGACCATGCTAAAGAACAGGATTAGAATAAACTTTCAGGGCACAGCTACCCAGAAGTAAGTTCCCTGGAGTTTACACCCCAAGTATGTGGGTATAGAAAAATGGCATTGTGATATTTCTGTGATGGTATCCATCCTATCCAGAGGGATATGAATGCTGAATAGCTATGCTGAATGGCTCGTCAAATGTCTTGCTAGGCCTTGTTCATCAACCCCCTTCAGCTCAGGCTCAGCAGATTGGCAGCTCATGGGAAGGCACAGGTTTTACTTTTAGTTTGCCATTTTGAATACCATCTAAAACAGGACTGGCGAAACTCCAGGGGGTTGCCTCCCCACCCTGTGCTGTCCCTTACTGTGCTGCTGAGTGTCAACAGCAGAAAAAATGCCACCTTTAAAAACACAAGAGGTGGTTTGCTGTCAATTGAACATGTGGTGGGTTGTCAACTGAAAGGGTATTTCGGTTGTTGGGGGGATAGTTTTCCTACCACTGCACTGCTGATATTTATTTATTTATTTATTTATTTATTTATTTATTTATTATTTAGACAACTTATATGCCATCCCATCGCATGAGCCTTGGGGCGGCTTACAATCATTAAAATCCCGTGTAATCCTGTATAATTTTTCCAGGTAGAGGCCACAAAAGATGCTGGGATTCCACAGGACATGTGTTACCCATTCCTGGTTTTGGTAGAAGCAGGTTTAAAATTCATTAGATAAGAAATTCTGGAATAAGCTTCCCTGTGTTTATACCCAATATTTCCCACTTCTGAGTGATATTGCTCCTGAACAAGGAAAATCCTTTATTTATTCATTTCATTTCATTTCATTTCTATACCACCCCGCAGCTGAAGCTCTCTGGGGGGCTTAGAACAGTCTATAAAACAGATAATAAAATACAATAAAATATATAAATTCATATAATGCAGACATGGCTAATTGTCATTATTAAAAAAAGTTCTCAGTTCCAGCTTTTGTATTTTGCCTTTCAGGGCATGGAGGCACATTTCAGAACTGCCAACAGCTAACAATTCCTAGCATGCCTCCAGTATCTCGTTGGCTGCTGATGCCTTTTTCCAGAAGCATTCCTGGAGAATTGCAGCCAGCTGCCCAGGAACCAGGAGGACCACCAATGAGTTCCATGTCCCATTCCCTACCTTGATATTTTCCCCACTCAAAGAGGCTCCCTTTTGTGGCCAGCAGCAGGACAAATCTCATAAAAATAATGAAAGAATATATGCATGTGTGATGGCATATGAAAATAGTATTTTACCAGCTTTTTCCTGTACCACAGTGTGTGGAAATCATATGGGGAAGGAATAAGCCCTTCACTTACAGTCACTGCACTACTATAATCTGGATTCCCTTCAGAAACTGCTTTGAATTATTATTGTTGTTGCTGCTGCTGATGATGATGATGGCGATGGCGATGATAGTCAATTCAGGTTGCAACAACCCAGACTCAGGCTGAACATCAGGAAAAGCTTCTTGACTGTCAGAGCAATATGACAGTGGAACCAGCTGCCTAGAGAGATGGTGGGCTCTCCCACACTAGAGACATTCAAAAAGAAACTGGACAGCCATCTGAGTGGGATGGTGTAACATGGTGTTCTGCAGCAGCAGGGGTTTGGACTCAGTGGCCTTCATGGCCCCTTCCAACTCTACTATTCTGAGATTCTGTGATGACCATTTCAACCATGGATATTCCATGTGTTTTTTCTGGCCTTAAAGTTCTGAGCATTAGAATGAGCTTATAGGTTCAAATTTACCATGTGGTCTTTCTGAAACCACTGGCTGTATGAGCCCCAAATCTTCCCTCAACCCATCTGTTGCCATTCTGATATGGAGCCATGGCGCAGGCTAGAAAGCCTATAAATAAACAAACAAATCAGTAATATTGTGTGCTGGAATAATGATACTGAGAGATTTCTGTAAAAGCTACAGAATAATGGTGTATGGACACAATGAACAGAAAGCACTTAATAACGATCCTGATTCATATTTGCAGAGACTGTAATGAATGTACCAAACTGCCCTGCAATCCAGTTGACAAGAATTTCTGACCCATTGACTCTGATGAGAATTGACAGTGCATTTGGTATATTTTAGATTAGGGTTTACTATTTTTAAAAACAATTCTGGTAAAGCAAACAAGGGAGAAAGGGGGGCATCAGCATTTCTCCCACAGTGGAGACCTTGTTTTGCACTGCATTTCAGCCTGAAGTGGAGATTTATGAGTGAGTTATAAACCTCTGAAATAGTGGTTTATAATGGAAACGCTGGCAGACCTTTAACTATAGCAGCACAAACAGTGCAGCAATAAATACTCAACTTCATCTGTAAACAGAAATTTAGGATGCAGTTTGCAGCCTTGACCTTCAGGCTCCAACTGTGTTTAGATCATTAAGATTCCATAAATACTATAATTTACTGCCTTCTGAAAGGAGAATATGTGCCCATAATAAAGCACATATTCTTCATGGGGGAAAAATGATTGCTTCCTGTGTATTCATTGGGGCTCATGTTCTCTGGTTTAGTCACATTAGTTGACAAAAATGTAGGCATTGCTGCCCATTTCCATTGGCAAGCGAGTGGCCATCAGCTCGATCTGCTATCCTTAAATCTCCCGAACCTCCTCCTTGAACCTCTTGCAACAGAGATATTTGAGAAAGGAGAAGGGCGCCATTTTTGCTGGGTTGGACATTTCAGGGAAGTTTTCCCGTGTTGCTCAGAAGGCTTGTTTCATCCTTTGGCTGATACGCAGGTGCATTGGGTATAGTACTTGACCAGTGTGGGGTCACTTCGACATGGTGCTTTCCCATATCATTTATTTCATTCCACTCCCACTCTAGTAATATTTGCATTCACATGGGCTGGGTAATCAATGCACACTTCTTTTTTTCAAACAATGCCACTTCATTGGCATGTCAACCACATGACCAATGAGATCGCTTCAGCAGAAGGAGGCCAATTCAAACACTCAGTCTCTGAGCTGAAACGTACGACTCCCACATCACTTTGCTGCCTTGCTTTGTCTGGTTGTGACTTATGGGTATCTAATGCACTGATCTGACTCACTGAATGCACCTTGTCTATGCATGCATGAGGTCAAAAGCAGGTTATGGAAACATCATGGGAGAGGCACACAGACCTAGTTTTTACTGAAGTAAGAACTTGCATCTGGCTTTACCAAGGGATGGCTGAGGAATTCCATTTAGGTCAATTTCTGATGAGAGCTGACCAAGATGTGCAATGTGCAAGATGTGTTCCCTGCTTTAATACCTTTGTGGAAAACAGTACATCATTCTGGATAATAAATCTATAACATCTTCTGCCAGTAAAGCCATTGGTGAGCACCAGGGTTGGAAAGACTTGCTCAGGAGAAACAAGTGAGCCTCATTGATAAATGAAAATTGGAGCCCAAGTTCTTGAGCACCCAAGCTTGAAAACCATTTTTGTTTTTATGTCAAATTCAAAGTCCAGAACCTGATGTTCTCTGATGGAAATGGCTTTGTTTGCCTTATTGTACCCACCAAAAGTGTTTCAGGCAAGTTGGTCTGTCTCATGCTTGTTTGTTTGTTATTATCTTTTCATGCAAAACCTCAGGTATCTTTCCATGCACAGTATTTGGACCCCTCCCCACTCTCCCCATCCCTCAGAGGGATCCAAACCTTATCAGTACTGCATTATTCAACATTTTCATTGGCATATTTGTAGATGAAAGCTTCCAAGAATTTTTGGCCACATTTCTTAACTGCTGACAGTACAAAGTGCATGTTTAGGAGTGCACGTTGACACTGTGTTTTTGCTGCAAGACAAGATGAACTGGCATATTTTGAAAAGAATGCTCAGTTTGTGCATTAAGGAAGAGAGAAGTGGATCAGTAGAACCAGACAAGCCATCGCCCAATTCAAAGCAGTTGCATTCAGATGACAAAGGCACATTGCTGCAATGACAAAGAACCCAAAGAATATGAATGCAGCGCATTATGTTCAACAGCAAAGCCATGCAATTTAGCAGCTCAGTCTCTTGTGTGGGTATAATATTCATTCGTTTTTAACATTGTAAGTATTCTCTGTATGGCTCCTACATGAGATAGATATGATTATATTTTGTAATAAAATGCATGCTATTGCATACATGTTAGAATGAAGCAACCTATCAGTGGTGTATCATTTAGCACTTTCCCGTGTTCTTATTTCCACCTTTTCTTTGCCTGCTTTCTTTTGTATATTCGTAGCCACCATGCTTGACATAGCATTGTGTGAAAACACAGTATGTTTGTACCTCCAACACTGCAAATTAAAGCAGACTTCAAGACACCCCTTGGCTAGATTTCACGATTAAAAATGCCATCACTGCATTTTTAAGCATTCTTATTTCCTGAAAACACACAAAACAAGGCTTATTCTGTTATAGATGGGCTAAATCGGTACCTAGATGTGACAATGAATTTGTGAGGTTGAATAAATTGCAGCTCAATCCAGAGGGAGGGTGTTCTAGTTGCTCAAGACCTGAGAGGGAGGGTGTTTTACCTGCTCTGCATGGAGTTGCACTCCCCTTGAAGGAGCATGTTCATAGGATGCGGCTTCTCTTGGAACCATCTCTGCCACTTGAAGCTGAAGTAGTCTCAGTGGAATTGAGTGCCTCCAACCTACTGTGGCTGGTGGCCTAGTGATCTTAATTCTGGGATCCGTGCTCAACATGAGGCTGCCCTTGAAGACTGTTCAGAAGCTGCAGCTTATGCAGCTGGGAGTGTTTACTATAACTCTTCTGATAGTGTTTATAGATGCTATTCTATAGTAAATAGAATAAGTAAAAAACTCTAAATAAGTAAATAAATGTAA